CTAGACAGGATCCAGCTTATGACTGAGACATTGGAAGAACAGCTCAAAATCTTCCATCTTTGTTCTTTCAGTTAAGGGGGATTTCTGAGGTTCCAACCTAGACTCTTCCTAGCACGTTGACACCCTAACCTCAATCTCTGGAGAGCTGTAATCATGCTGTGTAAGTGGCTCCCTGCCAGTCCACTCCCTTTGAAGCTGCCTGAGGGCAGACACAGGCTGGCACCTTCTGCCCAGACTCCTCCTGCCCTTCCTCCCTGGCTCCTGCTGGTCATCTGTTCAGCTGGGGCTGGGGAAGCTGCTGCTGAGTTCATTGCAGGCTGCTCTGAGTAGGTTTAATGAGTCTGATCACAGATCTTGTTTCAGATTTTTAAGGAGGTATTATTTTAGGGGTATAATTAGCACTGTTAAGCTGGTTTCCTACATAGAACCATTAGTCTGCTCTTACACTTGTAGCACTGCTCCAGAATATTCACTGTGAAATGTAGCACACAGCATAAGGAGCCTTATTACTTTCCCATTTTAAGTTGAGACACTATGAAAACATGTTCATCTTCTATGACATATTCAGTATGTTCAATGAAAGATCTGATGCTTCCAAAGGTATGTGAAAGGACAAGATCTACCTTTCCCAAGTGCCTCAATTTTTTTTGATGACTTATTTAGTAAAAAAGAAGCAGGTTTGCTTTTAAATTTCATAGCAGTTGGCACCTTGTAAGATTATGAGAAAATTTTTAAAATTTGGAAAAAAAGAGACTTGGGCCTGGCAGGGGCAGCTTGTGTTGCAGGGTTTTATGTCTTTTTTTTTTATTATTCCTCAAACTTTATATCGTGTACAAAAATAAGTAAGTAGCTCTCTGTGTACCTGTTTTGCATTCTTCAAAGAGGAAAAGCAGCAAGCTGGGAAAGTAACTATCACCCAGCAAAACTGATTTGCTAAAAATAGTATTAAGCATGTCATCTTTTAGCAAGTTAAAGGCTTCAGCTTTAAAAAAATGTTTTTTTCAAGGCTGGCACAGCAGGAAACACCTTTAGTAGTTGAGACTGGTGTTAATATGTCTTAACTTTTTTATTTGATAATTGAGGTATTATAAGCACAAAGTTTTTTGCTAACTTTGTCATGCTGTATGTCAGAACTGTAGTTAAAGGAAGCGTGGTGGGGAAGAAGAGCAATGCAGGTATTTCTGAAATAAAGCCAGAGTAATATTTAGTGTATTTTTAAAGAAAAAATCCTATATTATTTTGATGTGTTTGATAAACTCTGTTGCAGCAGAGACCTTGTGTGTACCTTTTGCCCTGCCCTGATCACAGGTTTTCAAAAATAGGTGCTGCATGTGTATTCTAGAGGTATGTTTGATTTTTAGCAACCCAGAAATTCCAGCACTAAGCTTGACTGAGAACCAAGTAACGACCATGCTGTGCATCCATCATCCTCACAGTCCTCAGGCCCACTCTGTATGGTGACAGGTTGTGTGACCACACTCCACCATTACCCCTCCTGGGCCAGCGTGTGGCCAGGTCCTGCAGCAGTGAGGATGGTCCCACCAGGGCTGCCAGTGCTGCTCTGGGTTGTTGTGGTTCAGGTGGTGTGGAAGGGGAGGAGACCCAGGTCAAGAATGCTGGAAGAGAGCAGTTGGTGAAGAAATGGATTCCATCTCTGGCTCTGAGAGGGATTTTTGCCAGTGGAAAACTGACTGGGATGGAACAAAGTGCCTGGGGTACAAGAGCTGTTAGGCAGAATTGAGATTAGATGAGACATCCAAAGCCTGTCAAACACCAGGGAAGGGGGAGAGTTCAGAGGTGAAGAGCTGCAGATAATTCTTTTTACATCCTGTTAAACTCTTACTTTGGTTCTTCAATAATTTTTAGTGTAGACTTCTCTTTATCAGATAAAGCATGTTATTTAGCAGGTCCACTTGGAGCATTTTGAATGTGATTTATTTTTTATTTTTCTTGGAAACTCAGTTTTATTGATGTAAAATCAGCTTAAAGCATCCATATCCATCCAATCATGAATGGGCTCCCAGGTTCCTTGGTCCTGGACCTGTTTCATCCCCTACCCCTGCTTACAGTATGCTCCTATACACCTTCCTGCAAGCAGTGCTTCTTAAAGACTTGTCTTCCAGCCAGAGAGGACTGAGGGATAATATGGCTCTGAATTTAGTTCTGCCAAGTTATGTTCTGTCATCAAAGTGGAAGGATGTAGAGCCATCACCCTGGACAATTCCTGTGCTGTGGGGAGTGCTGAACAGGTGGACTGTTTGGGTCATTGGCAGTTGCAGGTTGGGAGAACCTGGTTTAAAGCTGTGTTAAGTTCATTGAATAATTTAGGTGGGAAGAGACCTTACAAGGTCACCTAATCCTGCTCTTCCTTTAGAGCAGGACTGACTCCTGAGTTAGGTCAGGTTCCTCGGGATGTTGTCCAGTAAAATGTTGAACACCTCGAAGGTCAGAGGTGCCAAGACTCCCACAGACAAACTGTTGAGTGCCTCTCTGTAAAGCATGATTTTTTTTTTTCCCTTTTTTCTTCATTCCAGTCAGAGCTTCCCTTGCTGCAGCTTGTGACTGTTGCTTCCTCTCCTTTTGCTGTGCACCTTCCCTTTTCCCGTGTGCTGAAGGACTGACCCTGGGCACAGCATTCCAGGGAGCAGCCTCAGGGGTCAAATACAGGGGAATAATCATCTCCCTTGAACTGCTGGCTGCACTCTTGTTGCTGCAGTACAGATGTGCTGATGTCACTTGGTTGTGGACCTGTTGCTTTTGTTATAGTTTCTGATGTCATTCATGTTTATTTCTCTTACAAGACTTGGATTGGGAATCGAAGACGGAAATATCGTTTAATGGGGATTGAGGTCCCACCCCCTAGAGGAGGTCCTGCTGATTTCTCTGATCAATCTGAATTTGTTTCTAAATCAGCACTTAATCCAGGAGAGGAGACTGCTGCTGAAGTGGGGGATGATAATGATAGGAATGATGAAGTATCAATCTGCTTATCTGAAGGAAGCTCACAAGGTATTTGAAAATGCAGTTACTACTGTGCCGATGTTTTGAATTCTGTGCAGTGTGCATGTTTGGATTCTGTTGTACACATTCAAAAACATCTGAAAGGTTGTCTAACAGTCACGAGTTACCCACCTGGGCTAACCTGCACGTACGGTTTGGTCTCTGCCTCCCTGTCTCTGAATTTTGTGGGGTTTCTTACTACAAAGCTTGCAGCAACCCTTTAGCACCAGACCTCTGGTCGTGCCGGATTCATCCAACGCTACATGGCAAATTCCCAGTTTGCTGGTGCAGCTGCAGATGGACAGACAGCACAAATGGCTGAGCCTAGCTTCCCTGGGAGGCCAGGTTTTACACAGCCTGAACATCTCTTTCAGTTCACCTAAATCACAGCAACAGTATCTCAGCTAAACAAGCACTAATGGGTGTGAACCTGCTCGTTTGGAGCTGGCCAGAGCTCTCTGGGCAGAGTTTGCCTGACGCTAACGAGCTGCGTGATCTCGAGTGAGAAGTGTCCTGGAGTTAATTCCCTTCTACTGCCCCTCCCAGCACTGCCTGACCAGGTTAGATCCATCTCTGCCTTCCCCTCTTGTCCATTAGCCTGCGGGCCGAGGGCAGATGAGCTGCTGCTCAGCACATTCCCTGCCCTCACCAGCTCCACTAATTGCTCCCAGCGCTTCTGATTAGACAGGATCAATAAAGCCTTTGCTCTCTAAACTAAAAGAAAGGCTGATCTAGTGCAAGCCATTGCAGCTTAATGTGCCAGGCTTCATCTTGTCATTTTGTCTGAGCAATTTAAAGGAAAGAACTAGAAAAAGGGAGAACTGCTGGGAATGAATTTGTGATAGCTTTGTCATATTCTACTGTAAAGAGAATAGATGATAAAGAAATGGGTCAAGTGATTGAAAGCCAAGTGAGATGCAGAATCTAGGAGTCCTTGATTTGCCCGAGGTGTGCAGGGAAGTGATTTAGTCAGATCTGCTTGAAAGAAAATGGTGACAGGGGAAGAGTCTGAATTCTCTGTAGCTTAGAGTGAGGAATAACACATTTATTGAACGAGGCTTTCATAAAGGAAGAGGAGGCTGGAAGACGATGAGTACGTTATTAGAGTCAAAGCTTAAGGAAGTGTAAGAAAACCAGAGGATTTCCACAGCATCCAGGAATCCCACTTCCATTCCTTTAGTCTACCACAAGAATTATTTCTATTAATTTCTCCAGTTCCAAGGAGCAGGTTTCACTGCTGCAGCTCAGCTTGTTTGGAACTTCCTGGCAAATATTTCCACCAAGAATAATGTGTACAACTCAGTCACAGATAGGTGGTTGTTTCAGTGTTTGAGAACTATAAATTTTGGTCCCAGTTTATGAAAAAAAAAAAGAAACAAAACCACCACAACAAAAAAGCACTCTCAAATTCAGGAAGATATTTTTAGTCACCTAATTAGAGTACTGATGGCACTTGCTCTTAAAATGCAGTGTAAATATTAGACAAACAAAGCTGTACTCTGATGCAAAATGAACATTCAAGTTCTCATAACACCCTCCCTTCCCTTTTTTAAATGTATGTTAATTAAATCCATGCCTTGTGTGAGTGAACACAGCTCTGTGGAGGCTGTTAAGGCTCTGCCAGTTTATGTTAGTGGAGGGTGGATAGTTAAAGAGTTGAAGTGCTGCAGGGAGTTGCTTTGACTATTGAATCCAAGTGGTGACTATCAGGTTAACTGAGTGACTGGTGCTTTAGGCTGTTCCAGAGTCCCTGAGGTGCATCTCCCATGACCTTCACTCCTCCAGGTGTACCACTGGGGTCTTGCATTGCTCCCTGCTCTCCACTTCTCCCATTTGAACCCATTTGCTTTTGCTCCCAGCAGAAAATTTCTTCTGAAGTTGTGACCAGCACCAGATTTATTTGAAACAACTTCAGATAAAATTTGCTCAGTTTAGAGCTCTGTAACTGGTACAGGAGTTATTTAAAACAATTAACTGTCTCTCTATGGACTGGCCCACCTATGATTCATCTTGGCAAGTGTTGGGGATCTCCAGTGAAACCCTGTTGCCCCAGTGCTGGTGTGGAAGCAATACAGCCCTGTGTCAGCACCTGCCTCTCAGCACCCCCAGGTCCTGCCCCTTCCCTCCTGTGCCTCTCCCTCTGTAGATGTCATAGCTGGACTCTTTAACCCTTTTACTGCAAGCTCTGCCCTTTGTGGAACTCCAATTTCAGTAGCACTTGGAAGGAGTGTATTTCCAATTAATAGCCTAGCTGTTAACGACATTGTTTTAAGTTTTTGATCATAACTGTCTTGCCTATGTGCTTTGTTTTATTTCCTGATTTGGTCTTTTTATCAACCATTTTCTTCTTAACCATGTATTAATGTGGAGAATTATAGAATCATAAAATCATAGTATTGTTTGGGTTGGAAGAGAACTTTTAAAACCATCGAGTCCAACTGTCCCCCAGCCCTGCCAGGTCCCCACTGCCCCGTGTCCCTCACCCCATATCTCCACAGCCTGGAAACCCCTCCAGGGGTGGGGACTCCACCACTGCCCTGGGCAGCCTGGCACAGCCCTGGGCAACCCTTGCAGAGAAGACATTTTTCCTAATGCACAAAGCAAACTGCCCCTGGCACAACTTGAGGCCATTGCCTCTTGTCCTGTCCCTTGTTCCTTGGGAGCAGAGCCCGACCCCCCCTGGCTCCAGGCTCCTGTCAGGAGCTGTGCAGAGCCAGAAGGTCTCCCCTGAGCCTCCTTTGCTCCAGGCTCAGCACCCCCAGCTCCCTCAGCTGCTCCTCCCCACACTTGGCCTCTAGACCCTTCCCCAGCTTCGTTGCCCTTCTCTGGTCACACTCCAGCGCCTCCAGGTCCTTGTTGGAGTGAGGGGCCCAAAACTGACCCCAGGATTCGAGGTGCAGCATCACCAGTGCCATACAAGAAAAATAAATCTAATTGGTTTGGTTCCAAACTAATCCATGTTTGCAAGGAGGAGGTGGGATTCTGGTATGGACCCTAGAATTTCAGGACATGCAGGATTCTTCACATAGTGACTAGTTAAAAAAAATAAGTTATGTGCATCTTTGATGTGAAACTATTCATCACTCTTGAATATTCCAAACTGGACCTAAAAACAGGAAGGTTTTGGTATGTTGCAATAGAGTTACAGGTAGTTTTCCTGTTGCTGCAGGTAGCAGTTGGCATGACAGCCTGAAATACTTGTGATGTGATGTCTTTTTAATAAGCCATACAGTATTTTTTGTTAACAGACATCAACAATATGACTTTGCTTTTCTATCTAGCAGATGTGACATATTTAGTGGTAAAGACTATTAATGTTCCTTCAGCATAAAACTTGAATGAGATCTCACCAACTACTTTATTTCTGCAGAAGAGACAAATGAAGCTCTTCCAAATGAAGAAACTGGTCACAAAGATGATGACCAGAATCCAGCATCTACTGATAATGTGGTATGTGCACCTTCCCTGGCACCCTGTCCCCTCCTGCCCTGCTGCTTGTCCCACTCTTGTTTGCCACTAGGTGAAAGCTTCACGTGTGCTAAGGGTCCTTCTTCACTGGTTGAGCACTAGAAGGAATTGTGCTAAAAGTGCTAAAACACAGAGCTATACACATTCAGTAGAAGTGAAATTATGTGGCTCTCCCTCCACTACAACAATCCACTGTGCTTTTCCTGCAGTGCAGGGCACCACCCTTGAGTAGGATACAAAAATAAGAGGAAAAAACCCAGAATAGTAATTGATGATGGTGTTCTGTAGCTTTGAGAAAGTCAGATATCTCTAGTGCTTCTCCACAGCTAACCCTGAATCTGAGCCCAGGGCAGGGTGGGTTTGTGCTCTTCATCCCCCTGCCCTTGGCAGGACATTGTTCAGATGTTTCTTGTTCACATGGAGTCAGGCACAGTGTTCTGCCTGGGTTTAACTGGCCGTGGTGAGACAAGGAAGGGGAGGCAGAGGGAGGAGTCATGGCAAATAATGCAGTGTGTCCCCGTGCTTTAGCCTGCCTTCTCTGGGGAGAAGACCCCAAGTGGTAGGGTAATTTTTATCTTAAAAGTTTTCTGCAGAATGAACAGGAGATGCTTCCAGTTCCCAGCTGCAGTCTTCCTGCAGTCAGAGAGCAAAGGACAGCAGCTCAGAATGGGACAGGAACGTTGGTGTTACAATAATCACACAGCCTGAAGTGGGAGAGGGAGCAGGAGAACCCTTCCTGCTGTATGGAAAGAGGAGAGAACATTTTCTCTCTTTTATTAACATATTATCATCTTGTGTGTAAACTGAAATCCCACGGCTGTATTTCCTGGGGTTGCCTGAACAGAAGCAGCTGCCTCTTGCCTTTCTGCTTCCCTCCATGGCCTGCTGTGACCTCGGGTATAATCCCTCTGAGCTTCAGGCTGGTGTGTTTGCTGAGGAGATGCAGGATGGAAAATGACAAAGGTAAAAGGTTTCCAAAGGTGATGTCTGAGAGACTCGGTTCTCCAGTCTACCTGAACTCCAGCATTATATAATTTCATAGAATAATGGGAGAGAAAGAGGAGTAGGTTTTTTCATACTCTGTCCTGAAAACACTGCAACAAAAAAGCTTTAAACCTATGCAGTTAATTTTGGGCTAACATACATTGGACTTGCATAAGAGATTTTTCTTAATTGAAATTCTAATCTGGTCTTTGCTATCTTAAAATGTATAATTATAAGAAAGATAGTGTGAAATTTTATCTTTTATTTAGAGACTCTTTCCTCAAGCTGAGTCTAGTAGCAAAAATATTTGAATCTCAGTATTACTGAGGGCATGGCAGAGCAGCAGATCCCTGTGACATGAAGCTTGGGAAATGTTAGCACTTCAGCTGCCTTGTCAGACACTGCAGCACAGAAAATGTGCTTTCCCCTCCCTGCCTTCAGCACCAACTTGTGAGCTTGGTGGGTGCTGCTCGTGAGAGACTGTTAACCTCTCTGGGAGGATTTCTCCTCGGTGATTAGAAGGAAATGTCTGATGACTGGTGTGCAGGCAGACAGAAGACACACACACATGCTGCAGAGAAGAAACCTCTGAAATAACACCTCAGGAACTAACCATTAAAGTGTTGTGTCAACGTGGGCCTTTCCCTTCCTTGTATTAAACAGGGTGCTAAAAAACAAAGTAAAATTGCTTTAGCTTATTATGTGCCATCTCATAATTGTCTACAACTGTCAGAACAATGAAAAACAGTAATGAAACCCTCTTCTTAACCTACCACTGCTGCCCCTCCAAAGTCAAGTGCAGTCTGTAGTCTGATCTGGGCAGTCATCCTTCAGAGTTCCCATCAGAACATGCCATTCTTACCACTCTCTAATCCAAATTCATTCTGTTTGACAGCTAGCCTAGGTATGAATAAAAGTTGAAATCTCATAGGTACACTAAGAAGTGCACATTTTGTATTTTCTACTGAAATAACCTTTTAACATAATTTTCTTACGTAAGAAGGTTTTTTGCTGGGAAGAAAACCAGAACATGCATATGGTAAATAATGTAAAAGTTTAATCTTGTAAAACTTAGGACTGGAATGTATTTCTGAGGTCTAAACAGCATTAAGCTTGGCCTTTAGCGTTGTACTTTAGGTATCTTCAGGAACTCAGCATAAAAAGCTGCCAAGACTTTTTGAGTTAAGTGAAAATGTCCATGTGTGTGCATTGGGAACTGTCTTTTGTACTGACATCCTCTACAGCTGGGGGCACTTGACTTGTGCTGTGGCCACAGCAAGCCAAGGGAGACCTCTCAGGTCTTTTCTTAGGCAAGAAGTAGGTCAGTTAGGACGAGGCTGTCACTTGCCATAAGGTCTGGTTTTGCTCCAGAGGAATAAACTCTCACAACCTTCTTTGCCCTGCAGGAGGTCTTCAACAAAAGGCTTCCAGAATGAAAAGTGGGCTTGTGCAGGCTGTCATGAGCTGTAGTACACAACTTAGTGCCAGAAGCATGGTGACGTGTGGCTCCTCCTCTGTAAACAGCCCGAGTCACCATGGCAGCAGCTCCACCTACCACAGCGTCAGTTTGGGTTCTTCCCGGATCCCTTGTGGCTGAGGTGCATGATTGCCATCTAACGGGGGCTGCACAACTCAGGAGTCCTCGGGAGCAAGCAGAAGGTCCTGCTACCTTCATCCTTTCGTGCCAGTGTTAGACACAGATTGTTGTTTGTTTGTCTAATTGATGGGTGTGAATATTTGGAATGAACCGTTTCCTTCTCTTTCAGAAAATAGAAATTATAGATGATGAAGAAAGTGATATGATCAGTAATTCTGAAGTGGATCAAATGAGTTCCCTTCTGGATTATAAGGTGAGTAGTTAGGCTGTGTGATAGCCCACAGAAAGTCCAGATGGGTGTGTCTGTAAGGAATTCAGCAAAGGCAGGGGGGAGCGTGCAGCTCCTCTGCTCTCGTGGTTACTGCACCTCATACCTTCAGTCATGGCCCCTCATCCCATTTCCAGCCTGGTTACCCGTCTGCCAGCCCTGAGGGAGGCAGGACAAATCCCATTTCTCCAGAGCAGTTCCACGACTTCAGCTGCAGCCATCTGCAGCTCCCACCACTTGTCCCAGACAGAGCAGTTCATTGAGCCTCTAAACCCAAACTCCCTTTCAGTGGGAGAAGCGTTGTTTGGAGTGCTGCGGCAGCGCCCGCTGCCAGCTCTGGAGAGGGACAGAACAGCTGGAACCCTGGAAGAAACCAGGGGCTGAGAAGAGCTGGTGGTGCTCGTTGTGCAGCACAGAGCATGTCTGGGAGCAGCAGCTGTGGAGGGGGGAGAAGCAGCTGGAGACTGGGCAGCCACTGTCTCCTACCAAATGGTGACGGCTGTGTGTGACTTCCTGAGAGTTCCCCCAGCTCTGTGGGGTACACTGAGCATGTTGTTATGTATGTATGTTAGTTAGAAACCAAGTATGTTCTGCTAATGATAATCAATTACCAAAATAATAACTAGATCATCTTTTCAGAACAATAATTACTCCTTCAAGCAGTGTTTTCCTGGTAAGGGCAGTGGAGAGGGAACATGGAGAGGGAATGACCTTTTCTTAATGTCACCTGTCACCACAGTGAAAGGGTTGTTTTGACAGCATGCCCTACAGAACCTCAGTTGTTGGTCTGTTGTTTGACATTAGTGATTAGTCTCTGTGCCTGTGTGTTTTCTGCATAAATCTGAATTTCTTCTTTGGCTGGGTAAAATCCATTGCTAACCAGGCAACTTCCAACTTCCCATCTGAAAGCAAAGCCTTCAGCTAACTGTCTCAGAAAAACCTTCACAATCACAACCCAAATACCTCTTATTCTCAGAGCTGTTGTAACCTGAAGCAGTATGGTGAGCAATGTTTTGACTGAAGAAATGTGAATTTTCTGGAAAACAAAACAAAATCAACAACCATTTTTAAAGGCTTGTTACAAACCTTCCAGTTCATCATGGAGTTTCACCTTCTCATACCAACTCAAGTTGAATTTTAGCCAGTCTAGCAAATGGAAGCATCAATACCAGAGCATGGCTGTTGGTTTTTTAAAAAACATTCATCATTAAAACAAAATAGGAGCTTATAAATTCATTATTGAAATTTGCTCAGGTAATTATTTGCTGCTATCAAAACCAGCCACCAAGGAACATATTGTACCCAAAACTGCCAACCTAATTAATCGTATGGTTACCTAGGCAAGGGTGGGTTCATTCCTGCCTCTGGTGTCCCTCAGTAAATGCAACATGTCACCTGAACTGTCTGTGAAACTAGATGTTTGCTGTGATGTGCACCGTGCCTTGCTGACAGCCCTTGTGCAGCTTTCTGTCCTTGCTCTCTGGTGGAGGATGCACATTTGGTGCTGCTATGAGAGACCTTTTGCAAAAATGCACCGTGACTTTGATCTTGGGAACTGTTTTTTTAGGTCCTGTGGTCTTTGCAGAGGTAAATAACCAGAGAAAATTCATTTTAGCTCAACACTGATCAACAGAGTCGGTGTTCTGAGCTTGCATACCAATCTGCTGGTAAGTTTGGAGAAGAGGTGTTTGGAATAAAGTGAAGCACTTACCAAATCTGAGTTTTTAAATTAAGTTTGCTATTTTTATATGAAGTGATTTGCAAGTACAGGAACATCTATTAATGAAAAGGTTGGAAAAACACCTTTTTAGTATGCACAACATGCATTGTACAGATATTTCTCCATTTTGTAAAGACATTTGTGTTTATTCTGTAACCCAAGAGATCTTGGGTAGGCTGGTGAGCTGACACTTCACAATACACATCACACTCAGCTGCACTAGAGGGTGCTGTCTTTTAATTTGTGGAAGCTCTGAGGAATGTTCAAGTTATTTTCCCTGGTCTTTGTGTCAAGCCTCCTGCTGTAATAATGGAATTTACTTGCTGTATCTTCTTACAGTCACCTTGCCTTTTCAGCATCACTTCTAGGAAGAGACCTGAGCTTTGTTTTTCTTGGTTTTAAAATGGAATTAGGGGTCATCCTGATGAAATAAAAAGCAGTGCTTCTTTAGAAGGTTCATAGAAACGTTAGCCCAAGTCATGAATGCTTTAATGATGGTAATTCTGCAGTGCCTGGTCTGCAGGTATGGGGGTGGCTGTCATGTCTCTTCATGAGGTGTAGTGTGACACTGCTGGGCCTTCATCAGAAACTGCTGTTTGTATCCAAAGTCTACACCTGTTGTTCTGTAATTCTAGAACTTCTGTCTGCACTCAGAATTGGGTTTGAGAGGAACCATGATAAACACATTGCTACTCATCTTCACTAAAAACGTTCAGCTGCAACACCAGCATGTTTAGGTGCCATTTAAAAGAAGTTGAAGTGTCAGTGAAAAGATGCAGTGCTGTTGATTATTTCCAGAACTTGATGTAATTTTTCTCCACAGAATGAAGAAGTCAGGTTCATTGAGAATGAGCTGGAGAATCACAAGCAGAAGTATTTTGAACTACAGACGTTTACTCGGAGTTTGATACTTGCTATTAAGTCCGATGATAAAGAACAGCAGCAGGTAAGTCTTGAAGTAGGTTTTGAGAATGGAAGGAGAACAATTGGAATATTTTGTGTTCTTGGCTTTATTCTATAGTGCTCTGAGACTCAAATTATGGTTAGGGCAGCGTTGTGCTGGACTTCAAACAGAAGAAAGCTCTTGCAATTTACACAGTGACACAGGCCAAGTGTGACTTTTGCAGAGGGGCAGCCAGTGCCCCCTCAGGTTTGTCTGTTGTGAGATCAGGCTTTATTTGGGAAGAAATTTTGTTGCTTTTATTTTTTTCTTTTTGCCCTTAAGACATGTCATCTTGGACAATGTTTTTCCTTTCCATATCTATCCATACTGCCCTCTTCTTTACCCATCCAACACCAGCATTGACTGCAAAGCTCAGCAGAGTTTTTTCACTGGCTGCTTAAACGCCAATTGAAAGCTGACATAGAACATACACCTAACAGTGTATTGTAACATGTTTTACTTGCAGGCACTGCTCTCAGACTTACCTCCTGACTTAGAAGAAATGGATTTCAATCATGCATCCCCAGAGCCTGATGATACCTCATTCAGCTTGTCGTCTTTATCGGAGAAAAATGCCTCAGACAGTTTGTGATTTCTCTTTTTTAACTGACAGAAATGAGACCCTGCATAACATGCAGGTTTCACCAGAACAGCATTTTGCTAGCCAGTGTTCTTCAGTCCAAAAAGGCAAGCCCAAGGTGAAGTACACGTTCCTGAAGGATGGCTGTAGCACCTCCTGGCTACAGTTTGCACTGTCGAGAAATGTCAGACGTTGGTTTGGTAAATGGCAGAACTGTGTGAGGGGAGGTTTCACTGTTAGCAGACTGGCCTTGATTAGGGTGACTTCTGACTTTCCAGAATAACTCTTGCTCTGCAGCAAAGTCTCTTTGAGCAGGGATCCAAGGGTGGAAAACAAATGACCTGTTATACAGACACCTAATTCTCCAGAGTTGCTTGCTCACCAGCCCGGTTTATTTTTTTCCCCATTTTTACTCAGGTAGGTGGACTAAAAATTGGGGATCCAAATAGAGTAACGGGCTTCGAATGAGTTGTGCTTGAACCCTTTTGAAAATCTGAAATTAAAGTGGTTTTCCTTATGTGACTTCAGATTGCTGAATCTTCCATTTTCTGACCAAAATAGATGAAAAAATTTTGAAAGAGTAACTGAGGAATTTGAATTATCCTCATTAAATTATTAACATACAGAAGCAGTCATACGTGCTGTAACAAATGAAATGGATCTGGGAAACCAAATAGCTGCAGAATGCAACTTTCTGATACTGTCACAGCAGCAATCTGATCAGATGTTTACTCTTTAGGGGTTTATGAATGTAGTTGCAGTTTTGATTTGTGAAAGTCTGAATGCCAACACTGTTCACGGTACATTTTTCCCACAAACTCTGCTCCATCTTATCAAGATCCTGTCATAAATCCCCAGCTGTCATTGCATCCTGAAAGGCATTCAAGGAATTGAGGAATTCAAGGAGAATTTGGAGTTGAGTCTTGCAGGTCTTCTGAATGCAGCCTGGTTTTGAAGTAGTCCTGTCTGATAAATTTTTTGGCAACTGCAAGGTGCCATTTCTAAACTGTGAGTCTCTCCCAGCTGTCACTGACACTGAATCCCTTCACTCCTCTCCTGAAATGGATGTGCAGACACATGCAGGTAAATTTAGTTGGGCATGTAGGTGCATGCCCATGTTACTGATGTTTCTATACTTTCTAATCTAAATATTCCTCAGCAAGCAATTTTGAAACAGATACCTTCACAGTCTGATGAGAAGCCTGATCTTTCCATTTTATGCCAAATAATAATTTACTCTGGTGAATCCACAGAATCTGTGATTCTGTGTGAATCCTTATTCATGTGGTACCACTAAGTAATCCTCTTAGTTTCAGTGGCAGGTCCAAGGTGTAGCTCAGAAAATCCAGACTGCTGGGGAAATAACTCCTGGGGGCTGGGGTGTTGGTTGGTTGGTTTTTCTTTAACACTGGGATTAACTCACGATTTTAGGTCTCTCATAGTCTGGTCTGTTCCTCCCTAATGACTTCTACAGGTTTTTTTTTTGTATTGGTAGTGAGCCCTGTTCTTTCAGGGCTTTTTCTGTCTGTGTCATCCTTGAGCATGGAGAGCTTTTAGCAATATTGTGCAATGCCAGCTGCAGAAGGGATAGGAGCAGTTCTAAAGGCTGGTTTGAAAAGCAAACCAGGACAGTTTCACAGCTGGGACTACAGCACAATTCAGTTCATTCCCAGAAGACCTCTCAGCATCTATTCTGCAGAGCAGCCCCACAACAGCAAGCCGTGGGGCCTGTGTTTGAGTTCAGGTGTTAAAGAGTCCCAGGAGAGGGAGGAGGTGCTCTGTGTGAGCAGGAGGTGAGCAGGGCATTACCCATCCTGCCACTGCTGGGCTGAGATGGCTCCTGCTGCCTGGCAGGCACACCCTTACCCCCGTACTGCAGGGAGGAGCAGTGGTTACATGCCTGTGGAAATGACCACCAGTCTGCAATTCGTTGAGGTTTGTGAGCCAAGATCACAGTACTGTCCTTCAAATGCAAGATAGAGCTCAGCTGTAATTCTGCTCACTTGGAAAAAATCATTTATAAAGCGTTTCCTGTGCTAGGTTAACAATGCTTTCTATTACTATTCTCTCTAGACAGGAAATCTGTGGCACTGACAATGAGACCTCTTGTTTTCTGTGAGCTTTGCTGGAATTAGAAAGGAAAAAAAAAAAGTACTGTGATTAGCCACTCTTTGGACCCTATTTTCCTGCTGCTTCCACTTAAATTCCTGTGACAAAAGGCAGGATACTCCTAATGAGTGTTCTTGATTTCAGGGTGAGTTGTCATTCACTTTATGCAAGAAAAACTGTCATTGATGATTCATATCTTGCTACGTCTTGCCTCTGTTTCATATGCCAGACAAATGGAAGGAATCTGAATGAACTGCTGCCGGATTCCAGCAATTCTGTAAGTCCCTTTTCTCCAGGAAGCTGGAATCCCCTTTAGGATGTGCAGCTGAAACTCCAGCTGCAGGCAACGCCCACGTCATCCCTGGGGACACGTTGTTCTTGGATCCTTTTCTCTGGAGGGTGACAAGACAAAGCAGAGTGCAGTAGTCATGTTTTCATCCCCTGAAACACTTGACAATAGTACAGGAAGAAAGAGAATAAATTATGTTCCTGCATAAGGAGGTTCTATAGGGTAACAGTGCACAGCTGTTCCCCTGCAGGGCTTTTGTCAGTACCAGTGCATATTTCCTGTCATAGGCAAAACCAAAATTTCCCAGATACGTTTCCATTACTGATGTCCTGCATCATTGCAGCAGCAATGGTCCTGCAGCACAGTGGCTGCAGAGCAGGTTGTGACCTCCTGGAACCTTAACACTTGACTGTCCTCAAGAGTCACCAGGACACAAATCCAGCCGTGGCCCTCCAGGCCAGCCCCAGGCTGCACCTGCCTGGGAGTGCTGGGGCTTGGTTGCTGCTGTCCCTGCTGGACCCTGTGACCTGTTGGCAGGTTGCCTCCTGGCCGTGTGACCTGTTCAGCTGGGCCTTGGAACAGCAGGAGAGAACTGGGTGTGTTCCTTGCCAGCTTCCCTTAGTGACTGTTCTGATACATGGTCAGCAGGATGCTGCTTCCCAGGGGAGCCCTGGAGGTTCTGCAGGTGATGGAGAACCATGGGGCTGGCTCCCTGGGCCTGTGGCATGTCAGGGTTTTCTCTGTGGGCATTTCCTCTGGTGACAGCTGATGACACGAGCCCACATTAAGTGCTAGCTCATCATTTGCAGAGGCTTTCTGTGACAAAACAGCCACCACCTTGTGTTCTGATGGTGGGATTGAGCCCCTCTGGCTCATTCTGTGGCCTGGCTCTGCAATTCCAGCAACTGCTACAGCAGAGGTGCCACCTACGGGTGTTTTTATCCCCTTTCTGCCAAGGCCCTGGATTGCACTGTCTGTGAAAGATGACTTGCCCAGCGCTGGTTATTCCTAAGGCATCTGGTGGAACAGGGAGGCTGGAGTGTGTCTTTCTGGAGAAACCAAAGTGGGAACAGGCAGCTCAGAACAGACACTTCAAGCTGAGACGGGCTGCTCGCTCTCCTTGGGGAGCAGTGAGAGGCTTTGATGCCAGCAGGCTTGCTTACAGTCAAGACAGCTGTTTCCTGGAGCTGTGCCTCCTCTCCTTTCCCTGCAGCTGATGCTTCTGACAAGTCTCTGTGTCTGACAGGAGCGAGTAATAGTAAATATCCTAATAGGTGGATTTTTGGCAGATTTAGAAGTACACAAACAGGTATCCCATACAAGCTTTTCTTGAGTGCTGGGTTCCTGAAGCAGCACTGCACTTTAATCTTTCCAAGTATCTCTCTTTCAAGAAGGCAATAAGAAGTCTGACAGTGACTAGCAGCTCTTGGGCTTTGCAGTCCTCTGAGTGAAGAAAGGAATGTACTGGTTATACCTTACCTGAAACTGGGAAGTGGCTGATGAAATCCCTGCACCCAGCAGAGGCAGCTGTACTGACTGGTGTGCTTATCCAGCTGAAGGGACAGAAACCTGCAGTACCGTGGGGATGGAACCTGCTGCTCCCAGGGGGTCAGCTCTCCAGTTTGGGGTCCCCATGGCACTTCCCTGTCAGTGATGTCACAGAGGGCTGGTGCACAGCACTCGCCTCCCCTCGGCACTCGCCCCGGAGCTTACTGATGGTCTCAGGACGCTGGCAGCGCATGGACAGACCATAATATGCAGACACAGAATAGCACAGAATCTCTGAAACATGAGGAATTCCTAACTTGTGATGTCACAACCAAAAGCTTGATTTACTACCTCCAGTCCCCCTGCCAGACCCTGGGGTCAGCCAGGGAGCTACGAGGCTGCTCTGCGCGTCCCGAGGACTGACCCGCGGCTCACGGTTCCAGACTCTGCCTCTGCTGCCCCAGAGCACCCCGAGGCTGAGCGAGGTGCTCAAGTGTGAGGTGCCTCATCAAACTGGGAGGATGTTCAGTGAGAAAACTCCAGGTATTTATTAGAAAAAACAGCTGATTTCTGGTGTTTGATTTCTCTGCCCAAGGAGTACCTTAGAACCCTGGCCAAATGTGCGATCGTGAACGTCGTGAGCAAAGCGAAGGAGCAGCAGCACTCCAGAGCTGGGCTGTTCAGGGCAGGACAGGGCTGATTCTGCCTCTGAAAGGCAGCAGCTGGCGTTCTGGTCAGAAGAGCACAGACACAGACAGGGCAGAAGCTTGGGCTCATGGTGGTTTTTAAACAAGTGAGCAATCCTCTTTGGTAGAGACACTGAAGAATGTCCCTGCCAGGAAAATGGTTTCAGGTCAGTGCTCTGGTTCTGGTGAACATTTTACTGTATTCCTGAACAAGTCAATAATTCTTTTCAAATCCTGTATTACGTTTTAACACGTGCTACCTCTGAAACAGGACACCACCTTCAAAACCACACAGAAAATGTGAACTTGAGGATTTTTTTTTAATGTTTTATAGGCAATAAATTATTTCCAACATGCATCCTTCAAGTTTGTGCTTTTTTCTTTAGCTGACTGTGAGACGTTCACTTTTGGGTTTTATTTTAGTGCTATTTTTATGTATTTGTTTTGAACACAATCTATGGACAAGGAAATAGTAAAGATGTGATATTAGGGAGGAAGGATTAGCATCTGTTAATGGTAGTAAATTTTTCTCTAAAGCTGAAGGATGATGTCAATGGTCTAGCTGTGCTATTTTGGGTACAGTTCCTGTAAGGAATGGGTATTATCCTTAATTCTGGGACTAAATGATTGTTGTAACATTGCTCAGTACCTCACAGATTAATTTATCAGAACAGTCAATGAGTCTCAGCAGCATAATGCAGAGGAACAGGATTTCATGTCTTCTGAGACAGAATGGTTCATAAATATGTCCTCACATTTCTGTTTCAGCTGTTGAGTCTGGGT